TCGTTTGGGAACGGATGATAATTGTAATCTGTATTTAGAATCGCGTTCGCGACAGACGATTTTACGAATTTTCCATATTTTCTTATATTTTCCAAGTCTTTACGAATGTATCTGATCTCTATTTTAAACTTTAATTTTTTTTCCGTAGAAAAAGTAAAAAGAAGTCTACAAATATGTTTTCTTACACTTACTATTATTAATATTCGAACTAAAATATTTTGTTTAAGATTTAACGCGGGGTGTTTAATGCTTTTTATCGATTAACGTTCCACGAACATCCATTTTCGCGACGTTTATCGAGGCTTCCGGCGAAGAAGCGGATTTTTCTTCGTAATAGTAATCATTTCGAACGAATTTAAGGATGCTTTGGCTGTACAATAATAGCAAAAATCTGTCGAAATTTTAAAAAATATATATTTCTTACGTTTATGCTGTTTGGAAAATCAAATAAATAAATCTGGATTATAAAAAGAATTAAAGTATTACAAAATTATATGCTGTTTAACGTCTTCGTAAAAAAAATAGTTGTTATCAATATTTTTCCTAATTTATGACAAAAACTTTTGATCGTGAATACCCCTGAAATCAACTGCAAGAAACAAAAAAAAACGAATAATTTGCAGAAAGAGAGAAAGAGAGAGATAATATTGATAAAACTGAGATTATGATTTTTCAGACTGAAGGATTTAAATTTATAAATATTGGATTCTGAAAAATTCAATTATATAAAGGCACAGATATATTTTATTTAAAATTTTTTAAAAATATGATTGAATTTCCATATTTCCCATAATTTAAATAGTTTACAATTTAACAGTAATATTTTATCGTGTTTGTATTCTCTATTTATTTATTTCCCTGGATGCTGGATGCCAGTGTACACGCGTTTCCAGACAGAGAGTTTGAAAGTTCGCACATATTGTGACACGTGTGTTTTACACGCGTTCTATCAAGAACAGAGGAACCCGTTTTCGAAACTTGCCGCATCCTGAAACACGGTTTTACTTTAACGCCTTTTTTCGACGGAGACATGAAAAAACGCGGCAAAGGTGGTTAATTTCACAGGGCGTGACCACACAAACGAAGCGTCGCTCGCTCGGTCGAAGGCACGACATGCGCACATTCGAACACGCACGAATAGATCATGCCGTCGCTATAGTAACCTCGTGCGAATCTGAAAGCATTCCAATGGCGTGTTTGGCGAATGTTTTATCAGCGATTTCCACGATATTACGCGGTATTAACACGCGCGCCTGATGGAGGTAGATCTCGAACAGTCCTCCCTCCTCCTTTCTTTTTTTTATTTTTTTGATCCATATTAAAAAGTCGGCTATTTGAAAGTCTGATAAAAGCAAAGTTAAATAAATAAATAAAAAAAGATATACCATCCGATACGTTTGATTACAACGTATATTGCAATGAAAGCTTCACATAATATTATTTCAATGAATGCTATTCCAGCGATATTTACTTGAAAATGTGAAATGGCAAAGAAATGTTTAATTCGAAGCTAATCCCATGTATAATATCATAAAGGTAAAAAACGGTTATACGCGGCTATTAAATAATAAATGGAAATGCCGTAATATATGTTCGACGATGAAAAAAAAATTTTTCTCGCATAAAAGATAAAATACAAGGAAACTAAAAATATCTTTCGGAGAATTGCGTGTGTGCGAAAATTGCCTCTCGCAGAAAGAAAATATAGTCGACGAGGGAAACATACGTAATCGTTGTCGACCATTTCCGTATGAATGCGAGGAGCGGAAGCTGATATAATCAGCATCGGGACGTGTAGGCGCGATCTGAATGCATTCCCGAGCCAGGACATCATCGACGGAGGTGCTCGTTGACGCGAAACAAAGAGGAATGCC